AATCGCACCAGGGTTCGTTTTAATCGAACCAAACATGACAAGTGTGAACACACCCTAAATGTTTATTAGACATTCAAAGGTTTGTTTAAATTATATAAATGCTTATTTGCTGAATGCTGATGGCAAACAAGAAAGTATTATAATGTTTGCCTTTCTATTACTAATAATATAAAAGCAATCGTTATAATACTTTTTGTATACATTTTAATTTCTTTGTTTAACCGTTCTATCTGATTATTAGACAGACTTCTATCCGTATTAGAACTGTTAACGACAACAGCGAACAAGAGGGAGAATGTGAGCACTGTGTGCTCAGGCCCTGCCGTTCTCAGCGCAGTCAAAATAAAAGTTTGTCACGCCGTCTCGAACGCATCGTCCAAACAGGAAAACTTATCGGCCGATGTCTATATTTAAAAAATGCCAATATATCGGCCTTGGTGATATATCGGTCGACCACTACCTGTAACTAAAGTGTGATTTTGTTCCTCATATTTTCAGTTTGTTGATTTGGTATGAGGAATGGTTGCTACTTGTTATTTTAGAGAAGAAAACTTGAGGCATCTTAGACCAGTTGGGGAATTTTTGCACTGAGATAAAAAGCCATTAGGTGACTCACGTGTTGGAACAGATGTTGTCTTAGTATGCACTTCATTCAAATCACTCACGTCACTAAGGCTACATCAAAGTCATCACCTTACTATGTATACTAGGCCTATGTATTATTTTCCTAATGAAGGTAACGCTTGGTGACTTTAAGCCATTTTTACTGACTCTAAGATTTCAGTGTTTCCCACAGATTTACACACTATGTGTGGCGGCACTTTTCAACCGGGGGAAATATATGCTATATACAAAAAAGCAAACAGGCTTATTGAAAATGCACATTCATTCTCTGCCAGCAGGAGGCACTTAGGAGCGGCAGAAATAGCGATGTCCCGGGTAACGGCTGTAAACAATGTTAAGGCATTTTGGAAAATCTATTTGTGGCGGTCAGTGTTGATATTGTGGCGGGGCGCCACAAATAAATCAATGTATGGGAAACTCTGGATTGGGTTTTGTTCAATTTGGATGTAGGGCTGTCATGATTACTCTATTTAACTTGAGTACTCAGTTAAAAAAAATCCTTAATTACAATTAAAAGTAATCAGTAAAGTAATTTCTCCATGAATAGTTACAACAATTCGCCAATTACCGGAATAATCGATAATGACAGCCCTAATAGGAAGTCCAGAGTTATGTTTCAGTAAAGATATGGCCTATTGAGAGACTCAGTGCCGTGTTTTTGTGATGTTGCAGATGAACATAATACAACAAAATTGCTTATTTGGTAGTAGGCTTGCTGCGATAGTCGGTGTTAACCCACAACACCGGTTACATCACTTGCCCACCACGGCACCGCCCCCACCATCTTTTTGATTTTTCTATAGTAATAAAAATTATTTAGTTCAGTTGGAGAACAGACACTACAATTAAAAACTGAACGCGGCTGCTCAATGCAGCTTGCCGAACGACAGTTGCATCACAGATCAGCAGCAGTCAGATTTCATTTATCATGTGAGGAGAGTGAGTCGAGTTGACCGACAAGAGTGAGGTGAGACAGACAAGATGATGACGGAAGATTTACTTTCGAAACGAAATGCAAAAGCGCCTTTTTGGCAATATTTTACTTTATTTAAACTTTGTGTAATTTAACAAAGGTTCTGTGTTTAATATAAGATAGTTTGACGTTGTACCGTCTTGTTGTTGTCCATTCAAGCAATTGACTCTGAATTGCCGCTAATATGAAAGTAAAAGTAAAATGCGCATGGGCATTTACAAGCTATTTAAAACAAAGAAATGCGAGGAAAGGAGGGAAAACCCCAACGAACCCCACTCCCCGGTGATTACCAGTGTTGTCACACGTCGATTAACCGGTAGGAAAATGTAATCCCTATTTAAACCCTAAAATTTAAACCCTATTTGGTAGGGGTGTAAAGGTACACAAACATGACGGTTCGGTACGTACCTCGGTTTTAATGTCACTGTTCAGTATGTTTTCGGTACAGCAGGGGGAAAAAACTAAACATAAAATTGCTTATTTTAATAAACAGTGGTTTACTGAACAAATTGCTTTTTCTTTATATAAATTAAATTATAATAAAAAATTAATTCATTAATTTTCTTAGGGATAAAAATCTACCTCAGCTTATGCTCTAAACCTGGGATAGGCAACATTGGTCCTGGAGTGCCGTTACTAAGCCTGCAGGCAGGTGAGGTTTTTTTCAGGGTTGGAGCTAAACTCTGCAGGACATCGGCACTCCAGGACCGACGTTGCCTACCCCTGCTCTAAACTATAGGGAGCCCTCTTACATTACTATAAGGTTACAGTTAACAGGAGAGCCCAAACTTAAATTTAATTACTATTTATTTTTAAATATAATAACCAACACTCAACTTAAAAAATTAGGGATGTCCCGATCAGGTTTTTTGTGGCCCCGATCGGAGTTATTGAATATTGAGTAGCCTATCTGCCGATACCGAGTCCCGATCCGATACTTGTATATTCCTATAGGAATGTATGTTTGGTGCACACTTCAAGTACATTAAAGTTATTAAAATAAATCCAGTGTATACAAAGTTGTGCAGAGAGTAAAAGTAATATATGTATGATGCATGTATATGTTACGAGATACACACTCTCTCTCTATGTATATATAAAGTGAAGATAAGGTTAGAAAGCATGAAGCTCGTGGTGTCAGAGTGCCAGTCTTTCAGTCAAGTCCGAATCAAGACTCAACCCATAGCAACACGTTATAACAATGACGTCTCAGACAGCAGATAAAAGTAAATGATGAATGAATGAGTGATTATTACAAAAGTGTGCATCAAATACACTGAACAGGGAAGCTCAAACATGTGTGACGTGCTAGAACAGACCTCACTTTTTCTCGTGCATCACCCACGCACATTTGAGCGTCGTCTTTTCCTTTTAATGGCGGTTGGCAAACCCACTTAGACTCATACCACCTCCTGCTGCACAACACCGGCATGACAGCTGATGTAAAATAAGGATCGGGCTGAGGAGAGCCGATACCGACCATTTAAAAATTGCTTGATCGGCCCGATCCTTGAGATTGGCTCGGGACATCCCTAATGTAAACTGCACATAATGCAGTTTTTAAATTAACTTCTAAATTACAAAAGTTCTATTTGTTGTTGAAATATATTAATTTACACAGTGGCTGTCATAACTTTTTTCATAACAGATTTATTTCACATTATAACTAGTAGTAAAAAGGAAGGGATGATCACGCTCACTCGCAAAATGTTTCGGTACGAATAAGTGTACCGCTACACCCCTATTATTTGGCATACATACATAGTTACACATTCTCTCTCTCTATTTTTTCCATCTCAGGAGCCAGTCATGCCTGCCAGTGTGCGTACTGGGACCCCGAAGGACTCGGAGGTGTCTGAGCTCTTCTACAGAGATGATCCTGAGAAGCTCTTCACTGATCTCCGGGAGATCGGTCATGGCAGCTTTGGAGCCGTGTACTTTGTAAGCAGGCTATGCCAATATTTGTATGCAATGGGCGTTTGTGTAGATGTGTGCTTGAGGCTCTGCATGAACATATTTTTCTTTGAGGCTCATGATGTGCGTTCCAATGAAGTGGTGGCCATCAAGAAGATGTCGTTCAGTGGCAAGCAGTCCAATGAGGTCAGGATCAAAATACAGTTTGAATTTCTGTAGTACTGAATCAGTCTGTTTAAACCTATTCATGTACAAGAATCATGTTTTTACTAGGGCTGTGCGATTAATCAAAATC